CCCCCCAAATAAAAAAAACTCCCTATGTGAAAAGAAAATAATGGAATACTTATCAGTGATACTGTCTTTATCACACAACGCCACCTGACACGCGTTATTTTTTGTCATCTGACACCGCCTGTCACATGACAGTGACATAGCACAAGAAACATGACACATGGTGTAAGAGGCCAGCATGCTACACTTGTCAAGTTACATGACAACATTAAGTTTCAGTACAAAATGGTGAAGCATCGTAGTGAAATCAGGCACTCGTCAAAATAATGAAAAAGAAGACACTGGCTTATTCCTGCTGATTTGGCACTTTTTATCACATTTTTGTTTTTTAGCCTAACACCTTTTACGTGCGTTTAAAATCAAATTTCTGTGTGGACTTTACTGAAAAACGGGGATCAAAGGCACAAAAAAAGTAAATTTGCAGTTTCCAGGGACCCTCAAGCTTTAGTAGTCACCAAACTTTGGCAGAAATTTTCTCACAAATTTTACCACTGCTACCAGGCGATTGCTCAACCTATATTTAGGACAGAAAGGTATTTTTTAATCCAAAGCAAAACAAAATGAACAAGCTTTAACTTTAAGATGGTATCAATAACTCCAAATGCCCAAAAGTTGATGAGTGCCTGATTCCACCGCATCCTGTCACAATTATTACAATAATTACAGCTTTTAAGTCTTCATTTATTTTTCCTCTGTGATGCCTATGGTGTCTGTGATGTAAATATACGGCTCTTCCCTGCTCATTGCAAGCAGAAAACATGGGTTTTATTTTAGGATTCACCATAATACAACATATAATATGATCTAAATTGTGTCGATAGGGGCTTAAAACACTGTGAATGGAATAATTATTTTACTGGAATCACTCACCACAAGACCTGCCAGCATGCCCACACCGTAGCAGTTCTCCTTCTTGAACTCTATGAGATTCTGGCCATCCTCGCTCTCCACCATAGGAACAATGAACACTTCAGCAGCGCCTGGAGGGGAAGGGGGGGAGAGGGGGAGAACACGGGCAGGGGG